GGCAACAGTCTCTAGCTTTCTGCCCCCGGAGTCCTTCTGTAGGCCTTTTCTATAAGCAGGCTGGACAAAGAAGGCACATTGCCAACATTTACATAAGTGATCACTTGCTAATGTTTATGACCTTGAATACACATACTGAATCACAGGGCTCATAACCTGTGTTACTGTATGTTTTTGCATAGCCACTCAGAAGCATGGTGAGTGAGCCTAACATTAGTCATCTTAGGCCTACCCTACATCCATTTTCTTCATAAACACTGGATAAAAATAGAAACTATTGAAAAAGTGAAAGCATTTGTCTTAGGGGCTTTATTTCCTCTACTAACAAATCTTGTTCTGCAGCTTCTGTGTGGCCAAGCTGCTTCACTTATTTTATGCCTCAATTACTGGAATATCAGGTGAAGGATTTACTGTGTGGTCACATTTAGCTTCTAAAGAAGGATGGAGGAACTGGTTTCCCACCAAAATTCACATAAAGGAGGCACCCCATTAGTACGAAATGACTGGAAGGGGTTTATTTTCTGGAGAGCAGCAACTAATTTGGGGAACAATTATAAAATTTGACTTATGTGTTTAATACAGACATTTGTCACTTTGAAAGATTCTACTATGTTTGAATTTCAGTTACCATGTTTTATTTTATAAAACCCGTTTCCTAGTCAACAGGTCAATTTTCAGCTGTGCACAAAGGCATATGCTATAAACTTTGCTGCTGGATCTTCAGTTCACAATTCAATAGATAAATAACAGGTGATTGCTATCAGTGACTAATTACATATTTTCTTTGAAGTTCTATTGGTGATGAGTCACTTTGCATGTTATTAGATTCATGCACAGACAACTAAGTTTGTAGCTGTGCTGCTACTTTGTCTTTCAATGAAAAACTCATTTAATATTTTGTAAAAATAAAATCATCAGATGAGGGAATTAGACAGCAAATATAAAAATGAAGCAACAATTGAAAATGTGGTAACACTACAAGTGAGATTCCAATGTACTTATAAAAGAAATAGTGGATGCTGGGCCTCAGGTTCTCAGTGAAGGTGAACTTAGTGACAACATTGAGAAAAGTGGAACAAAAATGATGACAAGATCCTGAGGAAGTGATACAAGCAAAAGACTTCACATGTAAGAGTATCTCATAGATCTTTCACAACATTAAAAGATCAAAGAATAAAATATTAAGAGCTGGGATCACAACATGCATTTAATTTTCACATTTCTTTAAGTGTTCATAAATCTAAAATGGTTTCACAATTTTTCTTTGACGTTAGTGAACAGTGCAGGATATTTATTTGGGAATTGTCTAATATTTCCTCATGATCAGATACAGTTTATGTGGTTTTGGCAGCAATATATTAGAACAGGGACTGTGTAGTTTACGATTTATCATATCAGCATGCACTTGATAAATATTGGTCCTTTTACTTACCATGATAAACTCAATTGTATGATTTTGATGATGTTTGTGAATTTTCTTCTTTATAAATTTAGTATTTTTGCCCTTTATGAGAAAAGGTGTGTGTGTGTGTGTATAAGTGGTTAAGCACCCATATATATATTGAACCCATAGGTGCTTACTGAGCCACATTCCTGGCCCTTTCTTTTTTCTTTTTCTTTCCTTCTTTTTTTTTTTTTTTTAGACAGGCCCTCGATAAGTTGCTGAGGCTGGCTTTGAATTTGCAATCCTCCATAGACACTGGAATTACAGGCTTGTACCACTACTATTGGATAAGAGAAAATATTTTTGTGGTGAAGTGAATATGAAATTATGTTTTTCTAATTCCACCATGTCTCTGCATTAATTGCCATTTTACTGTGAAGAAGAGATTTTTTTTCCTCATTATTTTTGTTTACTTGTGCACTTGTTTGCTGTTTACATTGTGGTGGATTATTGATTTCTTATTTTATTCTTTGAGTTATATTTCATTCTTCTTATTTTGAACTGAAGGATGCTTCACATTGACTCCTGTCCCAGTAATGGGTCCTTTGGATATGGCCTCATCATTCCTTAAGCACATTCTTTCTGTCATGGAACATTGTCTTCCCAGACTTTTCATGAAGAATTATATTTGGAAGTTACCATTTTGGTTCTAGTTGTTCTCATTGCTACTGCAGCATTACTGACTCTAGATTCTCTAAGTGAACAGAGCTAGGAATTATATCTCAATAGCTCTACATAGAAAAAAAACACATGTTCTCTATCAAACTCTGCCTATGTCTATCTATCTATTCATTCGTCTATTTCTACCTATATAAATCCATGAGTTTATTTTGATTTGGGCTCAGTAAGCAAAGATTCTTCACCTTTTCTTCAATTTTAAAGAATTTTCAATTATACCAGATGCCTACATTACATATTTTCCAGATTGATTATTATTTTTTTGAGGGGGGTACTGAGGATTGAACTCAGGGGAACTCAACCAATGAGCCAGATCCCCAGTCCTTTTTTTGTATTTTATTTAGAGAAAGGGTCTCACTGAGTTGCTTAGCACCTTACATTTGCTGAGGCTGGCTTTGAACTCTTGAGTTCAGTCTCCTGAAATGCTGGGATTACAGGCATGCATCCCTGCACTTAGCTCATTTTTTTTTTAATGTAAAAGTATTATTTTATTTTTATTAATTCAATTTCTCCATTATATCCTTTTATTTCATTTCATTTATTTTAATTTATAGAAATCATTTTCTAATGTTGTTACACTTCTACTGGGTATTGCTTTGAAAAAAATAGAATCAGCATGCTAAACAGATGCCTTCAATTCATACATACTTATCAGAAGAGACAAGATATGGAATCAATTCAAGTGTCCACCAGTGGATGAATGAATGAAGAAAACATGGTGCACATGCAAAAAACAACACACTATGCATCCTGAAAAAATAAAGAAATTCTGTCATTTCTAACAACATAGGTAAACAGAGAATGTTAATGAAATTAGTCAGGTGCAGAAAGACAAATAATATCGCTTAAATGTGGAATATAAAACAGTCTTATCTCCAGGGTATACAAGGAATTCAAAACCTTAAAAACAATGAAACAAATAACCCAATTAATAAGTGGAAAAGGGAACTAAACATACACTTCACAGAAGAAGAAATATGAATGGTTAACAAATATATGTAAAAATATTCAACATCTTTAGCAATTAGAGAAATGCAAATTTAAACTACATTGAGATGCTATCTCACTCCAGTCAGAATGGCAATTATCAATAATACAAGTAATGATTAATCCTGATGAGGATGTGAGAGAAAAGGTACATTTCATACATTGCTGATGGTGCAACCCCTCTGGAAAGCTATATGGAGATTCCTCAGAAAACTTGGAATGGAACCATCATTTGACCAGTTATACCACTTTTCAATATATACCCAGAGGATTTTAAATGAGCATACTACATTTACACAGCCACATCAATGTTTATAGCAGATCATTTTGCAATAGCTAAGTTATGAAACCAAACTAGGTGCCCTTCAATAGATGAATGGTTAAAGAAAATGTGGTATATATCCACAATGAAATAGTACTCAGCTATAAAGAATGAAATTTGGCATTTGCAGGTAAATGAATGGAAGTGGAGACCATCATGCTATGTGAAATATGCCAATCATAAAAACCAAAGGCTGAATGTTCTTTCTGATATGTGGATGCTCATACATAATAAGGAAATGGGGAGGGAAAAACATAAGTTCATTGGATTAGACAAAGTGGAATGAAGGGAAGAGAAGGGAATGGAATAGGAAAGACAGTAGAATTAAATGGACATAACTTTCTTATGTTCATTTATAAATACAGGTTCAGTGAAACTCCATATCATGTGGAACAAAAGAATGGAATCATAAGTTATACTCCTTGTATGTATAATATGTTGAAATATACTCTGTGGTCATGTGTATTTAAAAAGAACAAACAAAATTATACTAATTGTACCATACTAATTAGTGGGGGATATTAAAGACAGGGAAAACTGTGTGAGAGGAGGAGAGGGTGATTGGGAGTCTCTGAACTTTTTGTTTAATTTTGCTGTGAAACCTAAAACATAAAATAAATTCCATTTTTAAATAGAAAAAAAAAATACCTTGACAAAGAGAGACCAAACTCACATAACTTTATTACAGTATAATTCTAAAATTGTTCTATTTTATCATTAGCATTATTGTTATTCTCTTACCATACCTAATTTACAAACTAAATTTAATACATATATAGGACATAACATAATCTATGTATAGTTTGGTACAATATACAATTGAGGCATCCCACTGAGGGTCTTAGAATACATCCATTGTGAATGTTGAGGAACTATTCTAATTTTTCTCCTTGAGATCAGTATTAAACTTTTTATTGATAATGTATTGAACCTTTTTAATCATCATTTTATTAATCTCTGTGCATGTCCTCATGTTCAACATGCAAATGATCATTTATGCTATTCTTTCTTTTTTTACAAACTAAAATATTCTTTTATTAATGTATACTTGAACATGAAATATGACCACTTTTTAAAAAGGCAATTTCATTTTTGAACAATTTCAGAAAAATAAATTTGGCTGTTTATTTCTTTTAGTGATTTCTATTATTGACCTTTTTGTCCTTAGCATAACATTCGCTTTGGACCTGAGTTACCTCAGCTCCTCCGAGAGGCACCAAGGACAGAGTCTTCATTTAGCAAATGTTTCCTTAACATTTTAATCTTAACATTTTAAATCTTAACATTTTAAAAGTTAATCCTTAAAATAAAAAGCCCTCTTAATCCCTAACCCCTTTCCCCATCATGAATTTACAAGTTTAATACAAGTTAAGTATATAAGTAAATTTGTCCTTTTCTTAATAAAACACTTAAACTTTATAGAATTACCAGTTTCAAAAATGTACTAAAAGAAACTAAAGTAGCAGTCATTGTACTCCTATTAACATAGAAGTAAACATAGTATGGTATCTGAGCTTTGATTAACATCAACCTTCAGCTGTTCCCTCAGCATCCTGGCTACATGGCCTCTCAATTGCTCTTTTCTTCTCCTTGATAATGCCTATATTCTGGCTTCAGCTCCCATGTGTTTTTGTGAATCCCTTTCATATTGTAAATTCCAATTTCTTTCAAGATGTCCTTTAGGTATCCCACGGGTTGTTTTGTGATGTCCACCAAGTCCTTAAGATTATAATACTGATGTTTCTCAAAGGCACAAAACAGCGTGTCTAATACATATTGTTTATCAGCCTTAACTCGCTTTCCATCATTTTTCTTTTTCCTTTGATATTCAATATTACATTGATGATCAGCAACAGGCTTGTAATTTGTTGTTACAGCTTTCTCCAGTTGTTGTGATACCCTTACAGGTTTGGAAGATTCTTCTATTTGCAATCTCTTTAATCTCATGTAGTTTTCACTGGCAACAGGTCGGCATTCGACTCTTTGTTCCACCTTTCCTTCTAATGAGAGTTTACCTGATGAGCTCTCAGAAAATACTGTTAACATCTGTCCTTCAACACTTTGCAAGACAAACGGATGTTCTCTAGGAGCACTGACTGAGGCTGGTTTTCCACCAATATCATGAATATTTGCAAGATCCTCATTCAAAGTAAATGATACTTCAGTCTTTCCTTGATTCTTGGCAATCCTCAGTTTCCCAACTTCACCTCTTCCAGGGGCTTTAGCCCATTGCTGTGACAGATATTTAGGAACCTTGACTAGCCACATTCGGGTGTTCTGCTTGACGCCGGTTAGGTCGAGTTCCTTTCTCTGAGCCATGGGTCTGTGGTGGGTGGAGGCGAGCAGTGGTGTTCTGCTTGACGCCGGTTAGGTCGAGTTCCTTTCTCTGAGCCATGGGTCTGTGGTGGGTGGAGGCGAGCAGTGGCCTTGGGACTTGGAGAGCCTATCAGTGAGGGTAAAAGCAAAGGAGAATGGCAGTGGAAGGTAGATGAGAAGGCGTGGCTCACTTGCAAGGATACCAGGAACCCACTACTCGGGATACGCAGGCTGTCCTCACTCGATTTCTGTAAAAATAAATTTTAGACAGAAAATTTAATGAATATTTGTGATACTTAATTACTGCATTCATATGAACAAAGGAGAAGAATCCTTTTAGTAAGGCCAAACTTTTGAGGGCAACCTGCTCTGATTTCATAATTGATCAACAGAAGGTGATTCTTCATATACTTAGCATGAGTGGGAAGGTGAATTATAGAATTTTCAGGTGGTAAACTTCAAAAGCATTATTAGAAAAATGTATTTGATAACTTTATATGAAAGAAATCTTTACACAGTTGTTACAGAGACATCAGGAAACTTAAAATTCTTTGTATGACTTTGTCTTTTAGAATAGGTAGTACATATCCAGGTGTGGTGTTCACACACCTATGATCAAAGCTACTTGGGAGGCTGAGACAGGAGGATTGTGAATTTGAGCCCAGCATAGGTAACTTAAAGAGATCCTGTCTAAAAAAATAAATTAATTAAAATAAAATAAGGGGGTGGGGAGAATATGCAGGGAGCCATTCTTGAACTGTTTTTGAACTAAAAACAAGATGGAAGCCATTAGGCAAGAAAAGTCTCAGTGGGAACTCTCAGTGGCAATCCTGCTGGCTTGAGACTGTCCTATACATGTGACTTCCTACCTAGTTCTAAGTTCAGCACTGCACTAGAGATGGCAGTGCCTGCTGGAGCCACACAGCTGCACAGCCTCTCAGAGATGGGTGTGGCTTGCCAAGATGCCAATCAACCTGTTTTCTGAAACACCTCTGCCACACCCAGAAGCAAGAGGACTCCTGCTGAAACCTTATGCCTGCCTTTGATGTACTTTCTCTTAAATAAAAAAACAGAGCCATTTTTAGTTGTTCAGTTCTAGCTTCCATATGTACTGAAGGAAAATCAAGAGCTCCATCTCCTTTAAATCTAATTTCTGGCTCTGACTCATTTCTTTACTAATTATTTCAGACTTTTTTTTTCTCATGTGGCTCACACCTTCGGAGCACGAAACTACCCTGGCCGGGTGCTGGCTACACTGCAATAAAAGAAGAAAATTCAATCTGGAATAAGTAGCAGGCAATTTTGCTGAGTAATAAAATACTTTTCTCCTCAATGATAATCACACTGCCTTAATTTTTTTTTTAGTTATCCTTTATTTTATCATTTTCTACTGAAGATTGAACATTGGAGAATCCACTCATCTCTGTCTTCTAAATGCTCTATAAGCCCATGAACTTGTCTCCCAAAACAATCAAGCTAAGTCAAGTTACATTATATCTCACTTGAACACTTCTCATAGCCAGCCTATTGTCTGTCTCTTTATGGCTGTTCTTACTCTACATTTTTTTTTCTTACTCCTCATTTTACTGTTCTTCAGCCATAAGGTGAAGAGCCTTCTAAAAAAGGTAATTTGGGCTTTGTTATTTTTTTTTTTGCAAGGACTGTCCTCAGCATAGCTGAGACACTCTAAATACTTATAATGACCTGGAAGATTTTATATCATTTGGTCTGTATCTTCCTCTTCAAATTAATCTTCTTGTACTTTTCCTTTGCCCAATATATTCCAGGCATTCTTGCCATATGTAGGTCCTCTATGCAACTGGGGGCTTTTAGAGATGCTAATGCTACAACTGAAGTACTGTCCCTCTGTTCACATGTTTATTTGCTGAAGACACAGAAAGTGCAAGATTAAGTAAACTGAAATGATTTATTCCACCAACACCATGGTTATTTTTATCACTGAAAATTCAACACACCAGCTTTTATAATTAAAGGATAATATTACCATGAATATGTATATCTGGATTGCTTATTACAGATGTTGTATTGTTCTTCAGTAATTAGAACTTTTAATTCTTTATATTTTTGCTGTTTTAATTGTATTGCTATTCTTTGGTATTATTAACAAACGATTTTAATTTTTATCATGACTAATATAGAAGTTCTAACAGTAATACAAATGCAATTTTTAAGTTAAAAAATAATTATGTCTTTCAGTGTGTATGTATTTGTGTGTGTGTACTATTGTATGACCAGCCTTATTTTCTAAATGAAATAAATAGAACTCCAAAAAGAAAGACACTACTATCTAAAAAATAACCTTTAAATGAAAAGTATGTATGCTTTATAAATTATATATGTAAGATTTGTGTATAATTTTATACATAAAACCTTTGTAGGATCAAATTAGTGTTCTTTTTTGTTGTGATTTTTTTTAGTAAATATAAATTGAAGCTTAAATAATCATATGTAGAAAATATAAATTTTTCTTTTCACATTATGACTTTTTATTTTTAAATATTTCAATCAAATTTATACAGTCATCCAATGAGTTCTTAATTCTCTATCAAGTAACTGCCATGATCATATTTATGATTGTTAGCATTACCCTAATAATAAATGCTGATATGTTTAACTTCAGGAACAAAAATTATATTTACTCTAGTGTTTGGGAAACAAATCATTAGAGTTTTCTAGCAGGCACTTGCTATTTCTTCAGCAAATTAACATGGAAATAAAGGATAGAGTAGTATCTCAGGATGGGAAGAAAATTCTCTGGAAGTTCAGTTTTACATCTCTCCTCTATTACATACTTTTTTGTTCTTTGTTTGTTGTTTGTTTTAGGCAATTTAATTTATACTCAGTAGTGATGTAGACTTAAGCATTAGCAATTCCCAAACTGTTATATGTCAGATTTCAGTGTGTGTGTGTGTGTGTGTGTGTGTGTGTGTGTGTGTAAATATGTGCTTGAATATCTGTGGAAAATGCTTAGATTATATTGATAAAAATACTATGATAACTGGTAGCTTTGCATAACTAAAGGCAAAATACCTTATATGCTGTCAAAAAGCTAAAAAGGAAAGCCACATATTTTGAGGAGACCAACAAATAATTTTTTGCTCAAGGCCTCATTTCATATTATTTAGAAATAAATGTGTATTAGCCAGGGTTCTCTAGAGGAACACAATCAATTGGAAGTATAATTATAAAAAGGGGACTTATTAGGTTGCCTTACCTGACTAGAAATTGGATAGTCCACAATGGCTGCAGGCTGGAGGGCTAGAAGAACCAGAAACTGCACAGTCCAAGAGGCTGAGTATCACAGAAGAAAACAAGAACCCGTTCAAGAAGAATGGAGCTTGCATCTGCTGCTGCTTCCTTGTTCTTCCAACTTTTATTCTATCCAAGTCATCATCCCATTGGTCAGTGGTGCCTACACTTAGGGAGGGTCTCTATTTTGATTGGCTATCCCACAATTCAATCATTCTGAGACACATCCTTATCTATACACCCATAAGCCTCTCAATCCTTGGCATTACTTAATCCAATCTAGTTGACAATTGAGATTAACTGCTGCAACATGTAGTGGTTACTTAGCCTTGAGGCATTTTATAGTCAAGAAATAAATATGGCACACAGGATGTAAGGGGAAAGAAGCGAGAATCTGTGTCTGTAACAAAAGAAAATGAGCAGAAATTGAATTGAATTTTTGTTCTTATGGATGTACTTTATCCTTCTTTTTTATATTGTATAGGTAGATTTCAAAGAGCTAGGCTTAGAGAATAAAGAAAGAATGGTTATAATTTTATCTAACTGGGAAGAGAAGGTCATTTTAGTTTTCTGAGGAAGTCACAGAACAGAATTTTAAAAAATTTACTAAGTGCTAATACAGCTTATTCTCTTAACTGTAGTTGGAAAACTTGACTATCTTACCATTTAGATATTAAGATAATAACACCAAGAATGCTGAGCTATAAAGTTTTAAAATGGCTTGTTCAGCAGCAACAGTGTATAAAAATAGATCTATTTTTAGGTCCTTTGGGTATAGAGAAGAGTAATAGCTGGGTCAAATGGTGGTTCCATTTCCAACTTTCCAAGGAATCTCCATACTGTTTCCAAATTGGCTGCACCAATTTGCAGTCACAAATTTGCAATGTATGAGTGTACCTTTTTTCCCTGTATCCTCACCAGCACTTGTTGTTTGTCTTCACCATGGCTGCCTTTCTTACTG